TGTCCCTAAATAATTCTCTTCTAAATATCTCAAAATTAAAAAGAAACTTCTGAATAGTTGTTGGACAAAAAGTCTTCAAATTCACAAGACCTTTCATTTGATCTTAAGAAAAGGGGCTGGCCCCTCAAATTAAGGGTTCAGAGGGGCCAAAAACTTTAATCTATAACTCTTGAATGATCAATATTTTGTCATAAAATACTAAAGCAAAAATGTTCATCTGAGTGATCTGCAACTACCTAGGTATACTGTACAGCAGGAAATTAACTCGCGGAGATAATATTTGCTATATTTGCGGAAATAAAAATTCCGCGAATTCAACATACAGTGAATAATTCTTCAAAAATTGTTAAGGATAAATTGAAATATTATCGATATTTGTGATTAGATTCGGTAATTCTATTTACGTTTCCTTGTAAACATAAAAAGCAGTAATTAATATAGCAGAGATGTAGACTGTCTTCCTTATTATGAGGGTATACGGATCAATCACTAACAAGTAGTTGTTGTTTTTTAAAAGCTTAATTGATAAATAAACATCTAAAACTAACATTTAATTCTGCCACCCAGTAGAGGCGCCATGTAATTATCTATAAAACATGTATTGTTAGAATTCACCCGTGCATATCACTCAGTCTTGTTATCTTTAATGAAGGCACTTACGTAGTAAAGACAATTACTGTTACACATTAATTCAATTTTATTAACAGTTCAACATTTTGACTATTGGTACTGACAACTGATTTAGATTCAGAGGGATTAAAAAGACCTGCAGTAAATACTACTCAGTACTCTACTCAAAACATACCTATTCATGAACGAACACCTGCCAAAGGGCTTCTTCTTTTTTTTTTTATATACGTTTGCCATTGTTTGGGATACGACTGGAAATCACTTAAATAAAACACTCGCGTATAGACTCATATGTATTTCAAACATATTTAACAAAAAGAAAGAAAGAAAATGAGAAAGAAAGAAGAAAATTTATATGAATGCATAACAGTGTAAATTGTACAACATTTTGTCTTCCAATCGGGATCAGTACGGTGTTTCAATCTATTTAATCGGGTTCAGAATCGACACAATATGCAAGGAAAATACTTGCAGTGTGGAAAAAGTTTTTGTATAATTTTTCATTTCCGCGAATTCAAACGACTGCGATTTGCTGCAAGTTGAACAAATCGCGATCTTTTCCGACCGCGATTTTAACCTGCTGTACAGTATTTTAGGGATGGCAATTTGCAACCAGTTAACAAATAACTCGGTCGGAACAATGGTAATCGGTTAGAAAATCTGTAATCAGTTTGTCGGAAAAAATAAAATAATTATATGTAAATTTGAACAAAATTTTTTTACAATTCATTTTTAAAAATGAAACTTCTACATAAACGTTTGATAAATTAGCGTTTTCACATATCTATTTAAGCTGATTTGGAGGTAGTTATTGTTCTCCTGATTGAGATCGCGGGGTAATTGGTCAGTTTGTGAAGTGTTAATTACTGTACAAACAACATGTAGTTACCCCGACTGTCCTGTAATTCTTTAATGATGTTAAATAAATCACCATTGAGCACTGTGAATCATTATGTCTATCTTCTGCAGTTATCTATCAAATTATATTATTAAACAAACATTGTATATTAAGTGACAGTTCAGACTTAGTTGTGTTTATGGTGACAATGCAGAATGTGTGACATCTGCTCTAAAAAATTATCAACGTCTGATTTCTCAGGCATGTTTCATGGTTTTCTTAATTTTTTTTTCTTATCTATTGAAATCAAAATAAAATATATGTACATGTAGTTTCCTGATCAAGATAAACAGGTTGTTTCTAACATCTTACTATGAGTAGAGCTACTTGAAAAAAAGTCAAGAAAATGTGTATTTTGATATGATTAACCAGTTAATCGGTCGGAACTTCTTGCGGTTAACCAATTAGCAATTCTGTAATCAATTGCCATCCTTAGTATATATCATAAAATTTTATCATATGTTGCATAATAAGAGCTATAGGGGGCCAGAATGCTAAATTTTGAATGCTTTACTATATCTCATATTATCAAAAATTGGACGGAATATATATTGCTTCATATTCTATTTTTTTTTTTTTTTTACAATATTGTGCAGCAGATTTCTTGGAGATGGTTCAATTGACTTGTTTTATTTCAATATTCATGGTTCATGCATTACCATATGAAGTTTTCATTGGCATTTCAATTTTTTGCAAATTTAATTCTGGTCAGAAATTATCTCCCTTTTATCGATTTTTAGATGACCTTTTAGTCTGCACAAAAATCAAATATGGATAAAGCTAAAGAGCTGAAATTTTCAGCAATGATAGAAGACATGCTGTTGTGATGCAGCTGGATTTTCATATTTTCTGGAAGTGCCTAGTATGGAAGCTTTGTAGAAATCGAAATTTAGGACATGAATCATGAGTGAATTTTGGAGAATTTCTTATCACAACTTCTTAACTATGAATATTTTGTTAAAATACATTGAACAAATGTTGTGCAGAATGACATGATCTTTTATATGATAACAAGAAAAAGAGCCTGAGCAAATTGTGTGACAACAAAAGTGTTCATGGACAGTGGCATCCACCACTGGTTTTGGGAAACAAAAGGTAAAATTATAGAAGGAAAACCCTCGATAACAATGCCAATTATCTAGAGCATGTTGGTAATTTGGACAACACACCTGTGCTTTGACAGTGGTTGCGGCAAAGCGTGACTGGCTGGACAAGGTATTTAGCAATTAAAGATAATTGTTGAATTTAGCAATTAAATTGAGATTGATTGAATTTAGCAATTAAAGATAATTGTTGTATGAAACTCAAAATTAGCAATGTCTTTGGTGTGTTTTTATTAGATATAAGAATTTTTTCATCACAATAATGGAAATGTCAGGCAAGAGAAAGCATGCAAATTTAGATTATGAGAAAAAAATAAGATTGATCAACATTCAATCTATTTGATGGTAAACCGCCGATTATTGCTAATCATGGATAATGCATCAAGCCATGATAAATGCAAAAATTCATTTTTGTCCCCTTAGATTAAGAGGCCATTCTATCGATCAAAAGGAAACCCCATCTCTATTTTTAGACTACTATAATTCCGCAAGTGAAAATATTAGGGATTCCGTTACCCCCGAAATTGTCATAAATTGTTGGGCACATATTGGGTTGATTGATAAATATCAAAACAGAATTGGAAGAGAAGTACACAGGTACTAACAAAATAAGAATTTATTACAATCAGTTGACGTATCCCGTAGTGATATGTAACTTACCATTCATCAGTCATGACTCTCAACCAACCGATCTTTTTAACTGATTCAGAAATTCTTGAGACAATGAAAAAATCAACTTTCAATTCAGATGAAATTAATCATTATGATAATTCTCAAAAACTTTTTTATATTGAGAGGCTATAACGGCTACTGACATCTTTGTCATCAGGTTATTATATTCTTAGAGCATGACGAAAGAGCTAAAGAGCAAGGAAATTGATGTGTGCAATATTCTGACATTTTATTTCTTTTCAGTCAAAATATTGTACACAGAACAAGAGGCCAATGGGCCACAACTCTCACCTGAGTCAATACGGCCCTTCATCAGATTTTTTCTATTATATATTCCTATGTAAAACCTTTATCCCTATTGTAACTCCCCCCAAATGTCATAATTTTTATAGATGTACCCTCTCCTTTTGCCTCAGGGTCATGATTTGAACAAACTTGAATCTACACTACCTCAAGATACTTCCATATCAATGTGACTAAACAAAGCTTTGATATTCTTGAGAAAAAGATTTTATAGAGTTTTTTCCTATACATCCATATGTTAAACTCTGATAGTGCATTGTGGCCCCACCCTAGCCCATGGGGGGGGGGGGGGGGTCAAGATTTGAACAAACTTGAATCTACACTCTCTGAGGATGTTTCCATATTAATATGATTAAACATGGCTTTGCTGTTCTTGTGAAGATATTTGAGGATTTTTTCCTATATATTCTTATGTAAAACTTTGATCCCAAATCTTGCCCCCCCCCCCCCCCCCCAGTCATGTTTTGAACAAAACTTGAATCTACACTACCTAAGGATGCTTCCATATCAATATGACTAAACATGGCATTGCTGTTCTTGAGAAGAAGATTTTTTCCTATATAATCCTATGTAAAACTTTGATCCCCCATTGTAGCCCCACCCTATATCCAGGGGATCAAGATTTAAACAAACTTGAATCTACACTACCTGAGGATGTTTCCATATCAATATGACTAATCATGACTTTGCTGTTCTTGAGAAGAAGATTTTTGAAGATTTTTTCCAATATATTCCTATGTAAAACTTTAATCCCCCATTGTGGCCCCACCCTACCCCCGGGGATCATGATTTGAAAAATTTAAATCTACACTATGTAAAGAAGGTTTCTTATAAGTTTCAACCTTTTTGGCCCAGTGGTTCTTGAGAAGAAGATTTTTAAAAGATACCACCAAAATTTCATTAATTCTTAATTATCTCCCCTTGCAAGAGGGTGTGGCCCTTCATTTGAAGAAATTTGAATCCCTCCACCCAAGGATACGATATTTTGTGGCAAGTTTGGTTGAAATTGGCCCAGTGGTTCTTGAGAAGAATTAAGTGGAAAATGTGAAAAGTTTACAGACGGATAGACAGACAGATGGAGAGATGGACTACAGACAAAATGTGATCAGAAAAGCTCACTTGAGCTTTCAGCTCAGGTGAGCTAAAAAAATAAAAAAATAATAATAATGATGATTTTTTTTCCAAAAAGAAATGAGAGCTTCTTTATACACATGTGCACAAGCATGACATAAACAGAGAGTATCTGAAATAAATTATGTAAACTATTTATTTTGTTTTGATTACCCACTGAATTGTAATTTGTTATATTGCCACCCTCACTTTAATGCTAAAATCTGTCTTTGACAAAAGTTGGCAATATACCAAGGTAGCACTTATAAATTTATTTTACCAACCTAGATCTGTGTCTCCACTTTCAATGGCTTTTAATAGAGCAATGCTGTCCTTTTGCATTTTCATCAACAATGGCACTTGTTGGGCTGCTCTAGGCTCAAAGTCCAACAGCTGTAACATGGGAGAAAACACGCATAATAATAATTTTAAAAAAAGTTGCTAAATTATTTTTAAAGAAACTTCCTGATTTCATACCAAACAAGAAGCCTACAGACATCAACATTCAACTGCCATATCTGAATGGTAACATTCCAATCTACAGTATCATGTACACTTCTTCAATCCTGAAGTAAAGTCCCAATGAAACAAAATTTTTCTTTCAAACTGCAAAAACTTACCCCATGAAAATATGTGATTTTATGATTTTATGATACAATATTATAAATGAGTCCTGCCAGTTGTTCTTGCAAAAGTCTACAGTTTTTGTTTTGTTATACCCACACTTTCTAAAGAAATTGTTGATCCTTTCAAATTCTATATTTATTTTGAACATGTCAACATCCTGTGTGTACCATGTGGTGAGACTCAGGTATTTTTTCTAATTATTCAATTGATAACTTATGATACACATGATTAATTTTCTTTTATGTGCTAAAAACCAGAGTCTCCCGAATTATTTATATATTCCAGATTGTCTGTCACTTATATGTAACTATTCAGACTTGAGGTTCACATGGCTCAATGTTGAATCACATACATCTGCATTTTTAAATGTGTTCAATAATTCTCATTATTATATTTTAGTATTGGGTTTTTTACTCATAATGGGTAATTTAGAAACAAACCCTGGACCAATACCAAATAATTTTGGAACTCGAAATTTAAGCATAGTCCATAATAATGTATGTAGTTTACTTAACAAAGTTGATGTGGTTTATAATGAGTTGTCTGAATATGATATTATTGGCATTACTGAAACTCACCTTGATAATAATATATCCAATGATGAAATCATGTTTCATGGTTTTCATCCTCCGATTAGAAAGGATCGTAATAGGTTTGGGGGTGGAATACTGTTTTATATTTCCCTAGACTTGCATTTTATCATAAGAGATGATCTTAATATTACTGACATTGAGCTTCTGTGGTGTGAAATACATATGCAAGATAATAAGAAAATTTTACTTGGTTTAATATATCGACCACCTAATTCCACTGTCTCTTACTTTGAGCGTCTTTCTGATTCACTAGATATAGTATCAAATGAGTCCATGCCAGTATTTCTTATGGGTGATTTTAACATTGATATGTTGAGCAGTGGAAATAATATTTTTAAACAATGTATGATACAAAAAAATTTATTAAACCTGATTAATGAACCAACAAATTTTACAACTACTCCTGGTACTTGTATAGATTTAATTTTCACCAATAATCTAAGTATTGTAGATAATGTGTATGTAGCATTTCCATTCTGTAGTACACATTCACCTGTTAGTTTTGATATAAAATACAAAACTTTCAAACAATATGCTTATAAACGCACCATAAGAAACTATGAGGATGTTAATTTTAAAGATATTGAAAATGATCTTAACAAAGTCAACTGGGACTCCACAGTCTTTAATTCCTCAAACATAAATGAAATATATGATAATTTCTTACACACGTATGATGCTATCTTGGATAAACATATACCTAAAAAGTTAGTCACAATTAGGCCACGAGATAAACCATTCATGAATAATAGTATACGTCTAAGAATAAGGCAACGAAATCGTATACACAAAAAAGCGAAACGTAAAGATTGCCCAAACCTATGGTGTCATTTTAGAGAATTGCGAAATGAGGTAATTTCTATGGTTAGAAATGCCAAAGAAAAGTATAAGAAAAAACTTACATCTCAAATACTTAATAAAGATATTCCACCAGGAAAATGGTGGCGAATTACAAAATCAATTGCAAAACTTTTAAATAAAGATAAACCTATGCCTCCCTTAAAATCAAATGGTCAAATTTTACTTCATCCATTAGAAAAGGCAGAAGCATTAAATAATTTTTACTCAAATGTTTCTAGTGTTGATGAAAGTAAAACCTTGCCTGAGCATGGTCCTGGTCCTCCCTTAGTAACCATAGAAAACATATTTGTCACTGAACAAGATGTGGCTGATCAATTGAATAATTTAAATGTAAGCAAACCCCCTGGTCCAGATGGTATAACACCAAAGATTCTTAAACAATTATCCTCCTCCATCTGTAAACCACTAGTAAAACTTTTTAATAAGTCGTTTGAATTAAAACGTTTACCAAATGTATGGAAGCAAGCTAATATTACCCCAGTATTTAAGGGTAAAGGTAGTCCTGACTTAGTTAATAACTATAGACCAATTTCACTAACTAGTAGTCTTTGCAAGATTATGGAAAAAATTATATTTAAATATTTGTACAATTTTATTTTAGAAAACAATATCTTAACAAAATACCAGTCAGGTTTCCAACCAAATGACTCAACTATCAACCAATTAGTGGAAATTTATAATACGATTATATCAAACCTAGATAAAGGTAAAGATGTTAGATTTATCTTCTGTGATATTTCAAAAGCTTTTGATAAAGTTTGGCATAAAGGTCTACTTTTTAAATTAGAATCATATGGTATTCAAGGTACATTATTAAAATGGATCGAAAATTATTTGGATGACAGAGTTCAAAGAGTGGCCTTAAATGGGTTCTATTCTAATTTTAAACCTATATCTGCAGGTGTTCCTCAGGGTTCTGTTCTAGGTCCTTTCTTATTCCTCCTGTATATTAATGACATAACTGATAATTTAGCTAATAATACAAGGTTATTTGCAGATGATACATCACTGTTTATAATTGTAGATAATGATGTTAATGCAGCAGCAATATCACTTACGTCTGACTTAGATAAAATTAATAAATGGGCTTCAACATGGGCTGTGGATTTTAATCCAACCAAAACCTGTAATTTAAATTTTTCAAGAAGTTCGAATGACCATCCCCCAGTCCATTTTGGGTTTAATGGTAGTATTATTAATGAATCTAGAACACACTGTCATCTTGGACTCCTTTTCCAAAATGATGCCAAATGGTCATCTCATATAAATAATTTATATTATAATTATGAAAAAGCTTGTTCTCGGCTAAATCTTTTAAGAATGTTGAAACATTTGCTAGATAGGAGTGCATTGATAAAAGTTTATTTTGCTTTTATTCGACCCATTTTAGAATATGGTAGCATTGTCTGGGATAATTGCTCACAGGAACTTTCAAATCTTCTAGAAAATATCCAAGTAGAAGCAGCCCGAATAATAACAGGACTTAGGAAAAATTCATCCAGAAATGCTCTGTATTTAGAATTAGGTTGGGAACCATTAAATAATAGAAGGGAAAGACAAAAACTCTTGTTATTTTATAAAATTGTGTATGGTATAGCCCCTCTCTATTTGCAAGAAATGGTCCTACCTTTTATGCCACCAAATCATGGTTACAATCTTAGGAATATTGGTAATTTTAATTTTGTCATACCTCAAGCAAGGACAGTGTCATATTTCAACAGTTTTCTGCCTTCTACTATACAATTATGGAACAATTTACCATTAGAAACAAAATGTATTGAATCCTATTCAAGTTTCAAGAATATCTTAAAGAAACCTACTATAGACAGAATAAAAAATGTCAAGATCTTTAATTATGGTAATCGCAAGGAAAACATTATACATTGTCAACTACGTAATGAATCTAGTAATCTGAATGCTCACTTGTATAATCATTATTTAAGTGAAATGGCATCTTGTACTAAGTGCGGATATCCAAACGAAGATAACTATCATTTTTTCTTAGAATGCCCTGCCTATAATAATCAGAGAATGATACTTCTTGACAGTCTTCAGAGTATAATAGATTTAGAAACCCTCTCTCCAGATCAAATTTTGAATAATTTGCTATTTGGTGATAGGCAATTGTCTGATAAAACTAACTGTTCAATTTTTGAAGCAGTCCAACTATACATCAAGTTTTCAAAGCGATTTTGATATTATTTCATATTTAAGTTTTAATATTAATTTCCTAATATTTTTGATATTTATACTTATTTCAAATCTCAGCATTTCCATGTATATATATTGTATTTTTTTTTTATATTTGTCTTTTGCATTTTCATTTTTTTTCTTTATTATTATCCAGTGTTTTTGCTTGTTCCAGATTTATTTATTTGTTATTATCAATACTATTTTCTTTGCTTTTTTTTTCTTTTTTTTTTTTTTTTTAATTTCCTTGCATATTTGTCTTTTGCACTTCATTTGTTTACTTATTCTTTGCACTCTTTTATTTTTTCATTATATTGTATAGTGAGTATACATGCTAAGTAATAACTCTTGTGAATTTATTAATCTATCTCTCTTTTTTTCTCCTATTTCTGGTAAAAAAAAAAGAAGAAGAAATTAATGTAACTTATTATGAATTATTTCATCATGATTGTAAATCTTTGTCAATTCTTAACATTTGTAACCTTGACCTTCTTGGAGAGGACTTATATAGGCCATGCCTGATGTCCAATCCAATTATGTAAACTGACTTTACATAATAAAATACTGATTAAATTAAATTAACTTTCTAAAGAAAGTTCAGGTATATTGTTGTTACTCATGTCTGTCCGTCCATCCGTCTGTCTGTCACTCTTCTTTCTCAAACTCCTCTTACATTTTACACAGTAGTTTAATCATCTTTTGGGAGATGGTTGGTGATGTCATGTAAATGTGCAGTAAGGTTTCGGAATTTTCATTTTCACCCTGGGGTCAAATGGGGATCGAAAAATGACGTTTTTTATGCAAAAAGCCTCTGGTTCCCTGAACTCCTCTTACATTTTACACAGTAGCCTAATCATCTTTTGGGAGATGATTGGTGGTGTCATGTAGATGTGCAGTAAGGTTTTGGAATTTTCATTTTCACCCAGGGGGTCAAATGGGGGTCGAAAAATGACGTTTTTTATGCAAAAAGCCCCTGGTTCCCTGAACTCCTCTTACATTTTACACAGTAGCCTAATCATCTTTTGGGAGATGGTTGGTGGTGTCCTGTAGATGTGCAGTAAGGTTTCGGAATTTTCATTTTCACCCTGGGGGTCAAATGGGGGTCGAAAAATGACGTTTTTT